TTAAAAAAATAAAATTTCTGGTGATATAGCGACCAAAGTTGGTCGCTAAAGTATAAAAAATAAATTAAATTCATGTATTTAGGGACCAAAGTTGGTCGCTAGTTTAATAAAATAAATAAATTATTGAATAAAAAAGCGACCAACCCTGGTCTCTAGTTTCCAGATTTTAAAATATAATATTTGGGTTAGAGACCAAAGTTGGTCGCTTCTTAATGATTAATAATAAATAAATAAAAAAAGTATTTTATATCTAGAGACCAACTTTGGTCGCCAAATTTATATTATTAAATTAATAAAGCGACCAAAGTTGGTCTCTATAGTCAATATCCGGAATATTTGGTCCATTTAGCTTAGAGACCAAAGTTGATCGCTAATTAGCGACCAACTTTGGTCCCTAAATAAAAGAGACCATCAATATAGCTACCAGGTCCGTTTGGTCGCTTTTTGGTCGCTTTTTAGCCTAAAAGCGACCAACTCTGGTCGCTTTTTGCGGTCGCTTTTAGGCGGATTTGTAGTAGTGACTCTGTATGTATATATATTTCTTTGTACTTATTTTGAGTGAGTGAAAAAAGTAAATACTTTTCTACTATTATGCTGGGTTATCTTTGTTAACCTTTGTTGTTTCTGCTCCTAGTTATACTAGACGGGCTTGTTGAATCCTGGGGGATACGCCTAATTTTATTCATCTCGGTGTGGGCGAAATATCCTTAAGGACAGTGTCTTTAACACGCCTCAAGCTAATTCTTTTATTCTCCATAATCACCAATATTTTTCCAACACAAGGTTGGTGAGAAAAATTAGGCTACTGAAATTCTACAGCAAATTTACAAACCTGAACAATTACACTCATCTAACCTTATGGAACTATCGAATAGCAAGTCCGTAAATTCTTTAATAATACTAAAAGCAACTAAAGAGGAAAGAGGGAAAATTTGATTAGCTATTAGATTACTTTCAGAAGTAGTAAAAATTGAAGTAGGCCTTATGAACGACAGCTTATGTTTAACACCAATCTGTAATGAAACAGCCACAACAATTTTAACCAAAATTACATGCATCTAAACCCTAGAACACATACCATAATTGACCCAACGGCAGAGCCTATCATTCTAAATATCAAATATTCAACAATAGAAGTAATTAAAAAGAAAAACATATAAAAAATAAACCATTGGATGAATTATTTAGGTATATTCGGATAAGATTGATAGATTTAATATATATATATATATATATATATATATATATATATATGAGTAAACAAAAACGACGAACTTTAGTGAAACTAGAATCACCATGGTGGCAAAAAGGATATAAAAATTGCTATCGAGATAGAGAGATAGTTCGGATTACCTCATGATGGTGGGCGGCGATGGTGGGGTAGAAGGGAAAGTACGACAACGATTCGGAACAAACTGACGGCGTGGTGAGCAAAGGGAATTTTAGTGAGAAAAAAGGAATTGTAGGGATTGAATTATTAGTAATCTTTTATGAGAGGGAATAACTTACGTTTTAACTTTTAATTAATATCTTTTAGTGGCTATTCCCTCCAAATGTTGACGGATATTATGACATTAAAATAAAAGTGTCACTAATTGCTATCTAATAAATGACATTTAAGTTAAGAGTCGCAATATTTTGTGACGTTTTTCTCCAAATGTCATTGTTTTGTGACATTTCTTAAGAAAATGTCAGGAAATTATATATTTTCCGACATTTATATTAAATGTCATTAAATAAATATTGTCGTATCCATGATTTCTTGTAGTGATAGTCCTAGTACTACTGGTAAACCTAGGAGGACGGATACTACTATCTGTCAACCTACAACCCTAATCCTCGACGTCCACTCATTTTTATCGTAAGTCATATCCTCGGTAAGCTAGAGCAATGAGTACATGTCCTGCCTAACTACCTCTCCCCGATACTTCTTAGACCTACCCCTTCCCTTCCTTAGACCCGCCATGAACAACCTCTCACACCTCCTTACCGGAGCATCTATGTCTCTCCTCTTCACATGCCCGAACCATCTCAGCCTCTATTCAGCTACTTTCCTGTTTTGGACGTGGTACTTTTTGATTCGTAATAAATGAAGCACCTAACTTATGAGAAATCGTTCACAGTATTGTTTTTTCATCAAATAGAAAAAAGGAAAATACTTGAATACATTTTGCTTCTAATTACAAAGACTAAAATAGCAATGCTCTCTGTGTTTTATCAAAAAAGTGTTAAACCTTTTCTTAAAACGAATTAATAAGAAAATAGGGGGTGAATCCTAGTTAAAAATAATAACTATTAGATGTGAAGACTTAAAGCATTAACGACGTAGAATCGTGTCCAATAGTATTGAATGCCAATTATGAGTGCTCAACGATTGTCAATAAATGCCATAAAGATAGCTTGCAATAGATAATGGCAATAAATGTAATAAGAAGGAACTTGTCACCCAAATGTTAGATGACTTATATGATTCTCCTTTCTGACAAAAACGTGGGGACAATATAAAACGAAGGTGGACCAGAGATCCTTGGATCTTGTGAGTAAAAGATATATGTGGAATCAGTGGACAAGACAAGCTTTGTATATTCTCTGTAGTCAACCTTTACAATGCATTCTTGTCTCAAAAGTTCAGAGATCCCCTTTTTGTTTTTTATCTCTTCCTATTTATAGGGGATATCCTAAAAAACCCTAAAAAGTACAACTGAAAGAATATCCAATAGAATATTCCTTCTTTCTATTCTAAACTTATTCTATTGTTGCTTCCGTACACTCTTTACTTGACCTCGGCACCAATCCTTCTTAAGACGATTCCTCGCCATTGTGCCGTGGTCGGCTTAATCCTCGACCACGTCCATTTGCAATTATTAAGTCCAGTCCAAATTTTGACCAATACAGTTAGTCCCTCCGCTTGTTGAGGTCGTGATCTTGGACGTCCTCGATGAGCGGATCCTGTTTGCAACCGTTCAGAGGAAATTTGGTCATGACGGTTGAATCGAATCGGCCGAGGTCGAACTGGCGACGTTGTCAGCGGGGCTGCGGTTGGTGTGGCCGATGTAGGATGACATCATGCCACGCACGTCATCATTACGCGTCTTCCCAATGCAGTGTATGTGCTTCTGTCGCTTCGATTTTGGTGCCATTGACGACTCTTTGCCTCGATTCCCCTATAAATAGAGGAGAGGGGTTTCATTTTCGAAACTTTCAGCATTTCCCCTTCTGTATGCATATTGTTCTTCTTTGATCTTCTTCTCTGATCTCCACTTCCGATTTCTTACAGCTTCTTCAATTCCAGTTCCTGGTTTCTTTCCCGGTTGATATCTTCTTTCTCTGACTTTGCTATACACGTTTTACTACGGAAATATGTCAAATTCCCCTCATACTCACGATGGAGTCTTCGATGCCACTCCTTTATCGGTGGCCATTCCTCCCGGCGGTGAGGAATCCATGATTGAGGAGGAAGAAAGCTTCCCCACCGTGGAGGAGGTGGTTCCCAGGAATCCTTCGGTCAGAAATGACTTCCCAAAGGAACCTGCTCCCGATCCTACTTAAGAGCTTTCTGAGACGGGGCTGCATCAAGTAGCCGACCTCTGATCCAAATATCATATTCCTTCTACGTCAAAATTGTTCCGGCGGAAGGCGACATAGTACAGGTTCACTGACCCGGATATTGTGCTTTCTATGTTTATCCGTTCCTAGTTGGTTATTCTCTTCCTCTCCGCCCATTAGCGGAGCAGTTTTGTCGTTTTTACAATGTCTACACGACGCAGCTCTCCCCTTATTTATACAAAGTTTTTCCGATGTTGGCGAAGTATGCAGAGTTGGCCGGCTGTGAGGTCAATATCCGTCATCTGCTGCATCTATTCTCTCCCAATTTTTATAGAGGCACATTGATACATCTGCGACATCATGGGACCAAAGGGTTGGTGGCCGAGATGGATGATAAGGCGAACCGGCGGTTCTGGCATAAATACTTCTTCATCAAGATCAAGCATCTGGTGGCGAATCCGATCGGGTTCCATGAGCAATGGAACTATAATTGTAAGTATCTTGCCATATGTTCATGTCACGACCCAATTCCCAAACCCGGCCGTGATGGCGCCTCTCGTGAAGACGAGGCCAGCCAACTAACCCAACTCGTCTTTTTAAAAATAATTGAAACATGAATAAACAGCTAAAACATGACTTAATAATATTAATTAGCGGAATTACAACCCCACACAGCCCTAATCGGGGTGTCACGAGCATCTATTAGAATGTAAGTACAACCTCAAGGTCTAAAAATACACTAATCAAGAATAATGAACAAAGGGAGAAGAACGATGCTGCGAACGCTGGCAGTCACCTCGTTAGACTCCTATATCTCTGACTCTGATCAGCCAAACCCGCTACCGAGTGAATAATTACCTGCATCTGCACACGGGGTGCAGGGAGTAAAGTGAGTACTCCAACTCAGTAAGTAATAAAGGTAAATAACAACAGAGCGGTAAGAAATCACGTATGGCATATCATCATGCTATATAGAAGTAGTGTAAAACCTTTTGAGGAAAACAGTGAAGCTGTGAAATCCTTGGAAATATCTTAGCTCAGTTTAAAACTTCTTTGAAAATGACTTTTTCTACAGTATGCAAACGAATGCAATTCAAATAGTGCAGATAAGCACAGAAGTCCGCCCCTCGGGCACCACACTCAATTAACAAATAATGTCAGGCAATCCGGTAGATATCTCATGAAGTAGCACAACAACAGGTAAGGCAAGCAAATAAAATAAAGTAAACACACAGAACAGTACTAGTGCCGCTGCGGCGTGCAGCCCGATCCACATACCGCTGCGCGTGCAGCCCAATCCGTTTATCGTCAACGGCGCTCACTGGGGGTGTGCAGACTCCGGGAGGGGCCCCTTACGGCCCAAGCGCAATATCAAGCCATCTCGTGGCATCAAATCTAGGCCTTCGGCCTCATATCAGTATCAGTATAACACTGCTGCGGCGTGCAGCCCGATCCAAAAGTATCCTCACAATATAGGCCCTCGGCCTTACTCAGTCAACAAAATCACATAAGCCACTCGGGCAACAGTAAAGCATGATGCTCAGCCCAAAATATTTTTAGAAATATCATTTCGAGTGTTTAAGGCATAATAAACTTGGCCGAGTTTTAAAACAGTGGAAAAATACATGACTGAGTGGAAATATATAATTAAATCAGTGAGGAATTATCAACAACAATCCCCGAAGGGTTCAAATAGCTGGCACGAAGCCCAAATATGGCAATTAGCCCAAATTATAATGATAACAAGTAAATTTCAGTCAAGTACGCAGTAAATTCATCAATCGGGATGAACTAAGTCACAATCCCCAACGGTGCTCTACCCCACGCTCGCTATCCGGCGTGCAAGTCACCTCAATATAGCACTACGATGTGCAAATACGGGGTTTCAAACCCTCAAAATATCATTTACAATCATTACTCACCTCGAACCGGCGAAATCTCTAGCTCGCGACGCCTTTGCCCCTCAAATCGGCCTCCACGCGCGTCGAATCTATCCACAACCAGAACGAATACGTCACAATATGCTAAGGAAACAATACCCAATCGAAAAAAATCAAAAATATCAAAAACCCCGAAATTAGCAAAACCCGAGCCCCGGGCCCACTTCTCGAAACTCAGAAATTTTTACATCAACGGGTTCCTTATCTCCTCACGAGTTTATACATACCAAAAGTACTAATTTCCGATAACATTTCGACCCTCAAATCCTCAAATATATCCAAGAGGGTTTTCAAACTTTTCCAACTTAAAATCACTAATTACATGTTAAAAATAACAATGGATTCGGGTAATCTAACCAAAATTGAGTTAACAACACTTACCCCGATGTTTTTCTTGAAAATCTCTCGAAAAATCGCCTCACCCGAGCTCCCTTGGCCCAAAAATGGAAGAGTGAGACGAGTTTGGACTTTATTCTGCTGCCCAGGGATTTGTTCTTCGCGTTCGCGAAGAACAAAATTTCCAAAAGTCATTTTTCAAACTCTTCTCGAACAGCCTCTAGTATAATGGCAATAACTTTTTCTGCAGATGTCCAAATAACTATTATAATATGTTTCTGGAAACTAGTTTCAAAGAGCTACAACTTTCATTTTTGAATCATCTCAATATTCATTGTAGATTGAAAGATACGAGCCTCCGAAGTAAGACCTGCGCAACAGAATTTCTTCTTCTTCGCGAACGCGAGTCTCTCTTCACGAACGCGAAGAACAAAATCCCAGAAGCCAAATCCTTCTTCGCGAACGCGAGGGGAACCTCGCGGACGCGAAGAACAATACCAGATACCAGCTTCAGCTATTGCAAAACAGCCCAAAATGATCCGAAATCACCCCGAAACACACCCAAGGCCCTCGAGACCTCAACCAAACACGCCAACATATCCCATAACATTATTCAAACTTGTTCCAAC